CTTAAATATGTAATATACATTTTCATTTATAAATATTTTGTTCAGTGTATTTCGCGTGCCTCTATATAAAGTTGTGCATTGTTTTTATGCTTTGGGTCAGAATCTGGCTTTTTTTTAATATTTGGCAGCACAGGCAGCGCGCTTTGTATGCAAAATGGCGTTACGTTTTTGTAGGTCTGGCAACTCTATAGTGACCAAAATGCCCCATGCAGGGCAGCCAAAAGGTGGTTTTTGCCTTCTGTTCTATGTGTGTGTTGCATTCATTCTTATTTCATTGCGGTTGCGTCGCATTGCTTAATGCTGTAACCCCAGTTCGGGTTTTAGCAGGGTTTACTCATTTTACATTATAACATTTTTGTAGAATTTCGTTTGGCTATAAGGGAAAACCTCACTGTGATATATGAAAACTAATAGAATGTTCCATCAGTAAAAAGCGTAAGCCAGTCCAGCAAGCCGTGCACATCCCACAATTAATTATGCTGTAATATGGCAGACGAAAAAGGACAAACCAATCGCTTTTTCCACTCGCATAACTTTGGAGTAGTCGCCCCATGGGGCTTAGTTGCCCCACATTCAACTGCTTTTGTCAATGGAGCATGTCAAACAACCTCTAATTAGTCAACATAATCCAACTAAGCGGCAGCTAAGCACCCCAACCCCATCCCCATCCCCTGCTCATCTGCTGCTGCCGCTGCCCCTGGCCCAAAAGCCAAACAAATGCCAACTTTGATCTATTTACAAGCAATTAACACAACAACAACAGCAGCGACAAAAACAACAAACAATTTTACATTTTTGCTTAATTACACACAAGTCGCAGCACTGTCTATGCCCAGCGCTCTCCCCGTCTCTAATTCCTTGCCAAAAATTCCCGTTTCACTGTTTCGCTTTGACTTTGCCAGCCAAAAAATGAGCTGCGCTGCTGCTGACCCTCGTTTTCTCTTTCCCTCTCCCTTGCCGCCTTCCATTTGCTGGTCTCCATTTTGTGTCCATGTCAAATATTTGCACAAAGTCCAAGCAGCTATCGTCCTTTCTCGCTCGCACGCTCTTTTTCTGCTACCCTTCTGCAGCTCAGCCGCCGTAGGACGTAGCTTATCATTGACAAAAAGCGCAGCGCAGGCGGCGAAGCAGGAGGCGGCGAACTGGTTTTCGGGGTTCACTGACTGTCAACATGGCTGGCGCCCTTTTTCGCCGTAAATCCGCCTGCGCTCCGTCCACCGGCCACCGTTTTAACCGCGCTGCCAACTTGCACTTTTTGCTTGAGCATTGCCAGACAACGCACAGTCAGCGTAAATTTTCGTTTGCAGAAATAAAAAGTGAAAAAAAAAAACTCAGCACAAAAAGTGAAGGCAAAGAAATCATTTTAAATGCGGCTTAAAATTATCTTTGATAAGCGTGGCGAAATGTTGCTGCTGAGTAATTTATAGGCAAATGCTTTTGCGCCTATTTAAGAGGTCCTTGAGATCAAAGTTCTTGTCATCGTCGTCGTCGTCATCGCAGTCGAAGTCGAAGTTGGTTAGGGTCAAAGTTTAAGCGGCTTACCGAAAGCTGATTTAGCAGAGGCAGACAAAATAGATTGTCGCAGTTCCCTGGAAAAGGGGCCTCATTAGTGTTAAAGGTGAACTAATTGGACAAATATTTTTTTTCATACGCAAGGGTAATAAAGAGTAAGAACTGAGCTTAGCTAAGAGAAAATGTCCAACAAGTTCTTTATGTTAGCGCTGACATGCCAAACAATTAAACTCTTATATTGTGATCAGCAAGTCCGTCTTATACCTAAGCATAATTACAGCTCGTTTCATGCTCTCAAGCTAAAGTTTAAATGCAAATAATCACCGTTATAACAAGACCACGCCACCATAGATGCATTCTTATATTATCTTGTACAATAATCTCTTGAGCTAACCAAAACTTTGCTTAAAGCTTTTAAGTAAATTTGCCATTGATTTGCAATTTCTCTCGTCTCCCACTCATCGCTCATAGCTTTCAAGTTCACTTACAAATTGATATTATGAAGCATGCATCGCAATAATAAAGAGCAAGAAGAAAAATCAGAAACAAAACAAAATCAGAAGAATCAAGTTCTTTTGAGCATCAGCCGCTACTTGACTACATTTTTTTACAGTTTTGCACTTGATTTGTATAGCAGACGCTTCAAATTTACCTTTAGTTACCTCTTGGTTAAACAAAGAAAGAAAGAAAGGGAGAGGGAGGCAGACAGACAGAAACGTTGCAACAAATTTTCTACTACTTTTACACAACCTACTCCACTTTTATTACTACCTTTTTAGTGGTTGTCTCCTACTTTGACTTTTGTTCTATTCTGTTTTGTCTGCCAGGAACAGAGAGACAGTGGGAGAGGGAAAGAACGAGAGCGAGGGCGACGAGTGACAAGTGATTTCTCTGCCCGATAGCACAATTCTCATTTCCCGTACAACTTGAAACTTTTTTAATAGATTTCACATTTTTCCCGCATCCCACTCTTATACTCCAGAGTAATCAAGCAAATTAGTGCTCAATAGCAAAGAGCCAAAGGGGGAGGGGAAACAGGGCGCGCAAGCGAAAGACCCAAATCCGAATTGGATGCCAACTTTTGACTTGGCCTTTGGGCTGCCTCCCAGGATAATTTGAGCTGTAAATTGTTGACAGCTTTGGGTTACAGTTATATATTTATTTTTTCCTCTTTTTTTTGCCATTTTGCTGCGTAGACAAATGAAGATAAATGTGCACTGAGCAATGGGAAAAAGTTTTTTTAAAATTTTCTATGCATAAGTTATCGAAATTTAAAGGCGAAAACTTTTAAATGGGGTAGTATAGACTGGGGATAATTTTCACTTCTTAAAAGTAACTGACATATTATTAGAGCTTAAAAATTAAATTTTTTATAGTAATAAAAAGTAGAGAATAAAAATATTTTACCCTTTGCCAAGCTATATTAACAGGGTGTTCAACTTGTAAGCTGTAACTAGTATCGAAATAAATGCGATAGTCTTGTTATAAGACGATAGTCTAACTAAAAACTTTCAGTATGTGCACACACACTCCGTTACGTTTCTCTTTGCTGTTGTTGATCACAATTTTGTGCTTGTTGTTCGTGTTTCTCATTTTCTTCCTCTTGATGAAGCTGATGATGATGATGAAGATGAATTGCAGTTTGAACTTTGATAGAAATGCACAAGCTTTGTGTAGTTTTTTTTTGATGCAGTTGGAAAAGTTAGTGCAAACTTTTTAATAAAATTGTTGCAATTTAATGTTTTATTGGGGCGAAACATGTCAAAGGAAATGCAATAATTGTGTCAAATGGGCTCGCGCTTTCTCTTAATACTAAGCACCTCCACAGTCAAATATAAGAGAACAATGCCAAACCGTAACTAAATACAGCACAAAGGAAAGTGCAAAAGCTAAGAGCGGGTTAAATGAGACAGTTTGAGAGGAAGTTTCGCCAAGTTTGTGTCGCTGTGCATAAAATGCAAAAGCAAAAGCAACACAAAGTTCAAATTACGAAATGCAACAAAGAAAGCCAAACCAAAAGTCGAGGGGTGGGGATCAACAACAATAAAGACAAAGAATTTGCTACACAAAAGTGAAACTTGTAAAGAAGTTAGAAGTCAAAATGAAATGAGCAGAAAATTGCAAAGTTGCAGTGCATGTGTGTGTGAGGGAGAGAGTGAGTACAAGTGCGAGTGCGAGCAAACAACAGTTGGAGTAATTATAGTATTAACTCGATAGCAAAGTATATGGGGTTAGCTTTTTGTTTTGTTTAATTACAAGGCTAACATGATATGTTATGATGGTTATGGTTGATTTAACTTTGATTATGGCCATTTGGTTCAGGTGTCATTTATTAAGCTGTTAATACGCTTAAGCAAAGCTTTAAGGAAATATAAAAACAGTTTACTGAACTTTCAGCTCGAATAAACCACAAGCAGCATTTGCTTAATGGCCATTCGTAAATAGACAGCGACAAATGGGTCAATTAAGGTAAAGGAACTAGATTAGAGGCTAGAAAGCACCTGAGCAGTTAAATTGATAACTGGGCGTGTGCAAGGTTGTTTATTTTGTATCGTAGCTAGTAAAGCTTAAGTTATTTGCATGTGTTAAGTAAAAGGTGAAGTTATACGTTAAACTCGGCTATTACTTAATTTCAGTTGAGTTTTGAAGCTCAACGCAGTCAAAATATAAGCAACTACAGTTACATGTACAAGGTCTCAGCTCTGTTTTTCTATTGCCTTTCATCAGGCGCTGCAGTCAGGCGGTCCGCACTAGAGAGAGTGCAATGGCGCGAGTTAAATAGAGAATGTAACAGATAGCTCAACCGTTCTCACACCCTGAAATCGCTATACCTGCTGCGGTGGCTGAGCTCTGCTCGGGCGCTCTTCTTGAATACTCCTATACCTGCTCCCTGCGTGTCTTTCTCATCTGCACTGCGCGCACTCGGAGTTGGCACAGATTTATATCGTTCATTTGTTCTTCGACGATTGCCAATGAAGGAAGTGGGAAGGCGCTGCGCGTGCGTGATAAATTTTGTGCCCAAATTTTAATTAGTGCATTTTGTAGTCGCAGTGTTTGCAGTGTTTACATGGAAATATTTTAAAAGCCAACTTGATTTTCAAATAATTCAATTAACAAGTTTATTTTTACAATTGACAATTGTCCATGTGCGTATGTTTGCCTCTAGTGCACGATTCTCTTTGTTGTAAATCGATTCGATAGTGTTGAAAAAATTACAAAAATAAAAGTATATAGAAAAAAATACAATGTTTAGCAGTCGCACTTCGTTTATGGGCAATCGCCGCATGATTTTTGATTTCTCCGAGAAAAGCACCGATATGTATTTGGAGTGAGTATGAAAAAAAAAAGAATTAGCTAAAAATAGACAATAACTGTTAATATAGAACTCATAACCGATATCCTCATCTTTTGGAGTGAATATACAGAAAACTGTTATAACTGTACTATTTCTCATTCTCTACATATTCTCTCTCTTTTGTCTTTTGCAGTGCATTTGGTATGAGCGATAAGAGCAGCAGCGCCACCAATAGCCTACCGAATAGTCCTATACATAGCAACAATAACAATTCATCGCTGCTCAACAACAACAGCAGTAACAACAACGCAAACTTGGTGGGCAGCAACAATTCGCTGTCAGGCACTCCTTTTGGTAACGGCAATAATAACAATAATAACAACAACAGCAGCAGCAACATCATGTCCAGCAGCTTAATGAACAACAACAACTCGTGCAGCGCCAATCGCAATGTTGTTGTTAGCATGGACGACGATACATGCTATCGCTTAGATCCAGACACAGCCGTTGTCACCTATGGCGAAAAGGAGCCCGATCCCGATAACATTAAAATGTTTGTGGGCCAGGTGCCCAAATCCATGGACGAGGCGCAGCTACGTGAAATGTTTGAGGAATACGGCCCAGTGCACTCAATAAATGTGTTGCGTGACAAGGCCACTGGCATTAGCAAAGGTAAGTGTGAACGAGCAAAATATTATTAATTATTTAATACGTTGTAAAATACATGGCAAATGTTAAATGTCCTTTGTAACAGTACATACACTACACTGTAACGGAAACTTAAGCGAACTCAATCTTCGTCTCTCTTCTTGCTAGAAATAACTGCTTAAAGTAAATAGATAAAATTAGCCACTGAGCACACACACTCACTCCCACACATACATATAGAAGTATCAGACATTCTCTCAGTCTACATAGCCTTTGCATTCAGTATGCTTTGCGTGTATGTGTGCGTGTATTTTAATTGCATGTCAAGCGCTTGCCATTTCATTTCATCGGCAAATTGCTTTTTGTTCGCCATTTGCCTTGAGCTGCTATTTGAGACGGAAACATTGACTATTCAAGCAAAAGAAAAAAGAGCTAAATATATGATCTAGAGTTTATTTTTGTATATGAGTTGCTCTTAAATTGAAGAGTTTGATTTGACTCTTGGTTGGTCGATTGCTCACTTTGCGTATTGTTGTTTTTGTCGTTTGCAGGCAATTTAAAAGCCTCTCAACTGCAGCAGTGGAAACGGTCAGCCAAACACATTTCTATTGATGCGCTATAGTTTTGCTCTTCTTCATGCCTTTTGTCAAATCAAATCATATTTTTGTGCTCATTTTATTCCATTTATATATATATATGTATACATGTATATTTGTTTCTTTAGACAACGCCTATTGTCCTTTTTGTTTGCGTTTGTATCATATCTTCGACTGCCTTTTGTCTCCCCCTCTCTTACATCCCAGCTCTGTATATCATTTTGTTGGGGCTGCATTTGACAGGCGGCCGCTGCTTGGAAATGTGGGCGTGTGCATGGTCAGCTTGTCATCGATGGGCGTGGCTGTCGTGTTTATATGTTTGCCAGTGTATGTGTGTGTGACAAAGTAAAAGCGCAAACAGTTTTAGGACGCACTTAAGTGGCGCGTTGTGTTGATGATTTATGACAATGAGACAGCGAGAGAGCGACTGGAATTGAGAGTGTGAATGGAAGTAGAAGCTTTCGGCTAAGTGCCTACCTCCATATGTGTGCTGTGTGTGTGTCCTGCTGTTTATCACTTGAGCTTAAAAGCGCGCCATGCCACAAACACGAATCGACACAAATTGCATTTGAAAGTTATTATTTATGCCAGGCAACTGTCAAATGCTAGCAGACAAAAAATAGAGAGGGGCGTGCGCTGACCCAAAAAAGGCACAAGACAGTATGAAAAATGTATGACGCAGTCGAAATACTCTGTAGACTCTGTTTGGCTTTTACGAAGTGGAATATTGTGCATATTCTGATAGCTTAGAATATTCTTCTGATAAACTTAATATATAAGATATATTATGGATGAGAGATAAAATACCCTCTGTCACTCTAATAATACAGAGAACTAAAAAAGTGAATAGAAAAATTATTATCGTATTCAGCATATCAAATCTATATACCCTTCTAGCTTACAGTAGGATATTCTTAAGAGAAGGGGGCAAAGTTTTTTTGTACTTTCTTGCCGCTTGCAGAAGTTTCGTTGTTTAGTCGTTTCCTTTTTTCATGTGCAGTTTTATTTTGGCTTCAACTTCCTGCTACAACATTTCCATTTAGCCTGACTTGTAACCTAGTTTTGGCCAGTTTTAGTTTGGTACCTTGGTCCTTTTTGCTGCGACAAAAAGTTGGCAGTGCAGTCGCGCAACCTCCTCAGACCTGCACTGCTGCCAATGGCTTCAAATTTGGATTTTGCTGTTGCATTTTGATGGTGAAACGCTTAGCCAAAAAGCCAGGGCACAGGATTTGGCCGTGCTGCAGCTACCAAAAATGGGAAATGACACTTTTAAGCGCGACGATGACCTCTGAACCAGAAAGTCGTAAATAACCCCACCCGCTAAAAACAAACAGAAAAAAAGAAGAAATTTCCTTTTCGTTTGGGAAAAAGTTTCGACTCCGCTTTTATTATTTCTGGGCTAATGCCTTTTGGCTAAAAACTTGTTTTTCTTTCACACTAAATTTCGTTAGCGGCCAGTTACTTTTTCGAGTGGATTTTCTATGTTGTTTGCGGGTGTTGTTATTGCGGTTATACTGTGGTTCCTCTCCTCACAGGAGCATGAGCAATGCGTTAGAAAGAGATAGCAAACACGGAGGGTGCGTTTGTGCAAAGGTTTAAGCTCTCCACTCATAATTTATTAGCGCTTGTGGTAGACGCAACAACTGGAAGAGTGGACGAGTGAGTGGAAGAGAGAGGCAAAGTGTGTGCTTCTCTTTTCTGTTTATTCAGGTGTAAAGCGCTTTTACAGCTTTGTTTGGCCAAAGCGTTTAATTTGATGGGCCTTTTCTCTTTCTATTTTGAGGCCTACCTTCAAAAGTTGTTTAAAATTTGTGGGTTTTTAGGAAGTTTCGAGTGGCGAGCATCGTGGGTGGAGGCGCATTTGAAAAAGATTCAGCCATAAATTAGTCAATGAATGACAAACTATTCACATTGGAAATAAATTCACGTTTTTAAGGGAATTTAACTCAATTGGGAAACCCAAAGGGAATTACGATAATTAATGTATTTGTGCTGTAAATAAGTTTTATTTATATTAAAGATTGAATACATATAAATAAATATAGTAATATATTATATAATATCCCTTTTAAACTAAGCGAAAACATCATTCTGCCAAATATTTTCACTTTTGAGCCTCCACTTTAGGCTTTTAACAGCTTTTACTGTCTGCCTTTAAACTGAGTCCTTGAATTTCTTTTCTATAAATTTGATTTATGGCCATACAAAAACTTAGCTTATAATGCTGACCAAATCACAAAAAAAAGATAACATAATTCAGCCACAGTGAGAAATATGCTGGGCTTCTTCTGGGCCATTTGATGTTTTTTTTTGTCTATTCCGCCTACTGTGCTTGAGAACTTAATTTTGTGAAGCGTGCCATCTCCCTCCCACTCGCTGCTGGTACTGTCAAGCTCTGCGTCTAACTGTGCTTGGCCAGCTGTCCGCTGTCACCTAAAATAGAAAAAGAAACGCACTCACTTATCTGCCGACTTCATCCGCCTGGCTGTTCTTCTCTATTCTCTCTCTCTCTCTCCTTACTCTCGCCCACTTTGTGTGCTTGACATTTTTATTTAGCGGCTTGCGGAGCGTGAAAAATGCATAAAATTTCACTTAATTTTCAAAGAGCATTTCAATTCAAAGACGCGCCTTGTGCTTGCTTACCCTGTTAATTTTGAGTGTTGGCATTGATGGACAAATATGTTTGAGGATGCAATCTATTTGCTCAATCAAGTCAATTTATTTATTAGCTTATTTGTAAATGGATAACAAACAATACAATAATAGATATATATATTATAACGATATGAGTACAGGGTATTTGTTAGTCGGCTACTCGCTCTACCATATCACTGTTACTTATCCTTTCAGCTTTTTGTGGTTTTGGTCATGACTTTTGGCGCCCACTGAACTATTGCTAAACGTTTGTCACTTTCGCTACGTCGAGCTTTATCTGTGTGAAGAAGAACTTGGAGAAAGGAGAGAGAGCAGAGAGTAGAGACGAGAGCCATAAACTAAATTCGATTGCAATTGCAGTTTGCTGTAGCTTCTACATTTGTTGTTGTTGTGTATTGTGCAGCTGGTTGCGTGTTGCCTTCTCTTTCTGTTTAGTGAGCATGCCAAGTCAGCTAGTAAATCTCTGCACCAAAGTTTAATGACATTGATTTATTTAACTTCGATTAATTCGTTTCCTGTTGGCTCTCTCCCTGTCTCTGTCTCTGTCTCTCGGTGTCTACGTGTGCGACCGGCACATCCTTTATGTATATATCCTTGCTTTATCCCCTTTTCTGGACTTTGGCACGTTGTGTGTCTGGGCCAAGCGGCGGCAGCGGCGTCGGCGGCAGCTCTCGATTTCACATCTTAAAATCCAATCCAACCCACTTTCACATACACACGCACGCTCCCCTTTTAACCCCCTTTACGCTCGCTCCTGGATTAAGTTTTTGTCCAAAAACGTGACTGGATGTCGTTTTCAGCTTCTGCCGCCGGTTTTGTTGTTACTTTATCGCATTGTTCCCTCAAGCAAGCGAAAGCTCAACTGTTCACTACCTCTTATATTTCCCTCTCTGCTTGCGTCTTGTTTTGGCGCTTTGATTCTAACTGCAGTTGACATGCACATAATGGGAATTGAGAGATTTCGCTTCTCTTCTTGCCTGCCTTTCGTCTTCTTCTTCAGTACTTCTGCTTCTTCTTGTTCGTTATCGCGCGATTGGTTTTCGTCTTTGGTTTCGCTTGCACAATATTTTATTGCATTTGGAAATCGTTTCGATTTTCTTTCATTTGTTACATTTAACGCTAGTTTAATTTTAAGTGATATTTAATCTGCGATTGCACAAGTTGCATTTCTTCCTCTCTTCCTCCCACTTTAGTTTTTTCCCTTTGATTTCATTTCGTTTCGGGCTAAGTGAAATGCGATATTTGTTTGATTCAGCGGAGGAAACTTAAAAGATTAAATAGTTGAAGGAATACCAAACGTTTATTTGAGTTGGTTTCGGTTTAATTAATTTCGTAGCTTTTCTAAAATGTAAATCTTCAAATAAGTTTAAAGCTTTAGTTCAGACTCACTTGAAATTACATGGTTAGCAAATAAATTATTTCATTTTATATAAAAATAAAAGTCATATACATATTTGTCAAAAGCTTTGGCTTGAAATGCAGATTATTTAATATGTGAGCTTTTACTAAGCTTTATTATTATACATTAACAAGTCTGATCTCGAATAAGCTTTAAGCTTCATATTAGATCGCTAACATGTCACAAGTATGATAAATACAGCGCTTTTCAAAGCTTGAAAGCATCTGTTAAGTAGATCGCTATAACACAGTGTTTGCATTCAACTTACATACAATTACACTAACTTTAAAAGCTTTAAGCTTTCAGTGTAGTTAACAAAAAAAACGCATAATTCTCACACATCCGTTGCGGCGCCGTTGGCGACGGCATTTACTCTACCTCTCTCTCTCTCTCTCTAAACCTGCACCGGATATAAAAAACGCAAAACGAGAAATGAAAATATTTGCAAATATGTGAAAAATTCTGAAAAACGGCCGTGTGTGAGACGCCGACGACGGCGACGGCATAAAAACTGCGACAGATTGAATTACCCAAGTGTTGGTGCAGGTGTATGTGTGTGTGTGCTGCGGCAAATCCCCACCCACATGCAAATAGAGAGCTAGGCATGTGTGAGCCATGTCCACCGCAACGCATTACGCTTGGGTAAAGCCGAGTGCGAGTCGATATGGCCGGTAATTGCATTATGCAACTATTGCCATATTAAGTTTTCCACACACAGTTTGGCGGCCAGGCCAAAATCCCAGAATCCAACGGCCAGAATTTCAAATGGACTCCATTACAAAGGGGCTGGGAGGTTTATCCTGCAAAGCGGGGAGGAAAACAAGCCACGTTAAATGGAATATGTGTGCGAGTCCGCGAGCCGGAAATGAAATTCAACTGACGCTTGAGTTTTATTTTACTTTTCTATAGTTTGGGCCACAGATTTTGGTGGGAATTGAAAAAACTGGACATACGAACACAAATTCTGAGAACCTCTCATATTTTCAGCTTACTTTTCGATTAAATTGTAGCAGCTAAAATGTGAATGCCACATAAATAGGCAATATAAAATGGGTCTTCTTACCTTCTTCAATTTATATAAAAATTCTTTCGGCTTAAACTAAAAATTAATATCCTTAAAAATCCGGATCGCTATATTATTAATTCAAGAATAAGTTAATTTTTTAGGATGAATATTTATAAAAATTGTATATTGTAACCCCAAAAAAAATTTTAATCGTTGCTTTTGTTTTGATATGGATTGCTTTAGTGTAGGTATCGCATGCTTGCTCAAATATGCTTGCTACCCGGAACGAACCCTACATAAACTTCAACACCTAAAACACTTGCCACCCCTACACATACACCCTTAGTCCTTGCCTCCTTGCGAACCCTGTGCTTCACAAAGCTCGACAGATTTGTTGCTGGCTCTTGTGGGCGGGCGGACGACGGGCGTTGGTCATAATGTTTAATTTAGTGTTGCCATGTTGCCACATTTGTGCCCCTTCCTCGTCCCTCCTCCCTGCACCCTCCTCCCCCAGCTGCTGCCTGTTTGCTTGCAGCTATTTTGCCTGCCTGCTAATAATAATTTTCATAATTTCTTCGCCACCTTTTTCTGACGTCGCTGAAAATAAACTCCAATTTAACCCTTATGCTAATCTCAATATTTCGCTCACTCATTCTTTCTCTCTTTCTTTTGCAGGCTGCTGCTTTGTGACATTTTATACGCGTCGCGCCGCACTGAAAGCTCAGGACGCACTGCACAATGTGAAAACGCTGAATGGGGTAAGTTTAATGTTTCCAAACTTTTCGCCCAGCTTTATTTTTAACATATTTTTTCATTTTGCGACATTTATTGTTAGCGATTAGTAGAGTAAGAGGAAGAGGAAGAGTAAAGGGGGTCGAGAGCTATTTTTATATTCCATGCCAACGCACGATATTTTAGACGGCATTTTAGGTTTTAATTGGAAAACATTTTTTATGCTGAGTTTGCAACACGAAAAATCGTTTGCCACATCAACTTATCATAAACGCATTCATGCAACACAGGAACAGCAACAACAATAAAACTGGCGAGAATTTCAGCATCGCATTGCCTTCATTATGGCTAACAGACTGCTTGACTGACAGATTGACTGGCGCGCGAACTGACACACAGTCCTGACGCGGCACAAAAAATGTCCACGAGATACAGAGGGGCAGGAATTGGAGGTAGAAAAGTTGAACTGATGAGATACCCTGTACATGACGATTAAACTTGGCAGTTTAATTTAACTTGCGAAAAGTTACCTATAAACTAAGTGTAAGATAATCGAAATGGCTCATTGGTATAGCTATTAATAAAGCTGGGAGATTAAGTATAAATAGTTGAAAGATTAATTGGGTCTTAGTTTGACGATGATGTCAACTATTAACAATTAGCTTAGATTAATTTATATAAATTTCCAAATACATAAAACAAACACTGTTCAATAATTGACGTCTTTAGCCATTTACTACTTTAGCTCTGCTTTTATCTGGCATCAGTCATAAAGTATTCAGAAAGCAAGGGCAAGACGGCTCAGGCAGTGCATATGCCATTTAGCCATTATAGGGCAAAGCCAAATCATTGCACTTATTTTACTATTATTCAATACAGTTTTTTCGCAACTTTTGCCTCGCTTTCAGCTCTTCAAACGCTATGAAATGCGAGTAATTTTCAAGTTTAGCCCTGTGTCCTGGGAGCTTAAAAGTATGCAACAGAAAAAGAATAAAAAAATGGAGTAGTAATAAAAATGAAGAAAAAGGGAAAAATTTGTAGCATGCGTCGAAAGTTTATGCTAAGAAAACCAAAAGCACAGACACAAAAATGTCAATTTGCGCTAGGGCGCTGCCAGCTTGCTAGCCCCTAAAGCAACAAAAAGGATAGGGATAATGGTAGGAGGGGTAGGGGTAGGGGTAGGGGTACGAGTAGAGGTTTGTGCATAACGGGCTGCATAGACAACGTCAGCGAAAAGCAGTTCGAGCTGTTGCGTTTTTCAATTTTTCTATTGCGACATCAAATCAGCATGAATATTATTATTTGGTATGTCATGTAGGCGCTTCAAAGGGAGGAGTTGTTGGCGAGGAAGCAGAAAAATAGGGTTCGTATGTTGGGATAGGTTATGCAGGAGCTACACAACAATGCTTTATGTCAGACGCTCCAAATCTGACATAACTTGCATGTCGTTGTCGCCGCCAGAAATGAAAAAAAAGAAGTTGTGCAGCTACGCGGCTATATTTATTTTACAAAATTGTTATTGAAAGGCACAGCAAATCCTAAGAAATCAGAAAAGGACGAATGATGTGAGGGTTAGAGGAAGGCTAAGAAACTGCACAGAAATTGGCAGGGCTTTCAGTTTGGTTTGTGACCATTTTTGCTGCATGTGCAGTGACAATTTTCCCATGGAAATTTACTAAATTGACAGCTGTTAAGACCGTTTTAAACTACTGCTCTTCCGTATATTATGCATGTTGAAGGATTTCAGTCGTTGATATTTATTACTTCAATTGATGTAACCATATTTGATAGGTGATTCAGTAGCAGAATTAATTTGATTTAATTTGTTAATTGAATAAATGATATTTCTGTGAAAAAACATTAGGTGCCGTGTTGTAGTTTTACAACACTATTTCTACATGTCTTGCCTTGTATTTCACAGCATTGAGCTGTATATGTGGCATTGTACAACACTGTAGGAGTCGTCATGGCGTATTATATAATCTTTAAATAATTATATAAATTAATGTTTACAAGATAAAGTATTTGCTGAATTGGGACGTTATCCAACACTAACAGTCTAGTTTTTATAAGATATCAAATCATTCCCTACTATAGACTATATATATCATCCAATTGACACAATTAAGTGTCTGCACCTTGAGTAACAACATGATGAGGTAATTAGCCCAAATTGCGTAGCATTTGAAGACCAATGGTAGCTACGGGACTGCATTTGACTTGACCTGGTAATTGGTACTTCCTGCACGAAAATAAGGGAATTGCTAAAATAAAAAGGGGCGTGGCATGGATATAAAAACATGCAGAAAGGTCAGGCAGGAGCGGGAGCAGCATGGCTGGGAACAGGTTGACTTGGACTGCAATTTGTAAGAAGTCGCGTTGCGTGTATTATTTACGAGCGCCAAGGAAAAGGCAAGCGAGTGAAAGAGAGGAGAATAGAGAGAGAGAGAAAGAAATACGAGAAAGGGTGTTGCGTACAAGGACGCAACGGCCTTATAAACGTGAACTGTTGTCGTTGCCAATAAATCACGGGCCATTAGCCGCGCAGACTTGGCGACGGAAGTGCTCGGGCATGCGGCCTCGTTTGGGTTCCCTTGCCATCCTCCTTGACCCCTGACCTCGTGCTGCGGCACGTTTTGCGGGCGCTTTAAGCTTGTTTTAATTAGAAGACGCTGTGCGAAAAATTACATTTAAAACGTTGCTGCAACTTGGCGTAAAATGGAAGGGCAAAATAGGGAAATGCGAACGCATATTTTAGGATTTTCAAGAGAAAGAGAAAGAGAAAGAGTTGCTGTTGCTTCTCGGCGACCGCTGAATAAATGTGTTTGGCTTTAGTCGAGGATTTGGCGGCCAGTTAGAAGCAGCTTGTCGGCTCTTTGCTGCATTCATTCATTATGCAGCTTAAGCGCCTATCAAAAGCAAAAAAGGATGGCGGGGCACACGCTGCAGCACCAACTAAATGGACTTCACACATACCAACACACAAACATACACATATATGTGTAGATATATACACAGCAGAGAGCGCGTGTCTGTTGGGACTAAGTTGTCCAATTTTGGCTGGTTGCACTGCGCCAAAGAGCCAAGAGCCAAATTAATCGCTGACTGCGTCGTTTATATAGCGCCACAATATATCAAATGTGATTAACACGGCAAATTAGGTTGGCCAAATCCTTGGAATTTTGTTAGCAGCTAGCCAAAGCGTAAAAAGTAAAAGCCGTAAAGAGGATGCCGCGAAAGAAAAATCAAATATAAATGAAGTTAAAATAAGTAATATGTGAGCTTAGAAAGGCAATTAGAGAAGAGCTTAGATGTGCTTGAAGGAAGTTGGGATATATACAAAATAAATAAAAATCTTTTTCTAATTTATTTTAAATTAATTAATTAACCAAGTATACTTTTTTTTACTGACTTACTTTTTATCTCATTACTTACAGATGTATCATCCCATTCAGATGAAACCCGCCGATAGTGAAAATCGCAATGGTAAGTTCAAGAAATATTGACAAATTTAAATAGGTCTGACACTGGTTTATACATTTAACAAGCACTTTGACTAGAAGTCAGAGGATTTATAATATATTGAATTCTTGTTGACTTTATCGTATACTTGCCAGAATATTGATTTGAAGTGCTTAATTAGTTCGATATATCCTTCACCATTTCCCAAATTAGAGAAACCGTTAAATTTCACTTAATAAAAGCTTAATTGACATGCTTTTCTAACCAATTGACGTGCCATAATGTGGAGGTTATTTTTGAACGAATTTTTATATTTCGCTTCTTTGACTTGCAACCTGTACGCCTGTCAACACATCTTAACTTTGGCAGCGACATGTGAAGCGAGCTTTTCAAGTCAAGCTTCATTAGATTAAAAGTGAGTGTCAGCTGCCAGCTAACAGGACGGCCGTCAGAGTTGAATAAATGTTTTAATATGGATTGGGTCATAGATGGATATGCTTCTTCAAACTACCTACAGTTGTTCCAAAACTGTATGTCAAATGTTTGACTCAGCCTAAAAGCGAGCAACTGCATTTGACAGCTTTTGTTTGCAGCTTCAATGTATTGGGGCATGCTGCACTGCCTTTGCTCACTCTTCATGTGTCTCGTTCGATGGACAGGCCACAGTTTAAACATTTCAACGGATTTTTTTTCGTATGCCACTTCAGTTTTTTCATTTTTATTTTTTTGGCCTTCTGTCAGTTGCGTGTCGGTCACTTGGCAGTTAATTAAAAACCATCAATTATGTGCGCCGCGTTACAAAATTGTTTAACATGGTAAAAAAAGTTTGTGCACAAAAATTTAATATATGTTAATTTTTTTTCGTTGCCAGCTTAACCGCTCTCTCACTCTCTCTTTCTCGCTCGTAGCGGCTTCTTCTTTTAATTATACCCATGAAATTAATCTGCTTAAGTGACCACAAAAATGTTGACTTTTCCATACACACACACACACACACACACAACCACCCCCACACCCACTCACAGTCAGGCATGTTGCATGCAATGGGCGCTTGGAAAATTTTTTAATTGGCGACCTCTAGCGGCGCGTATTGTTAACAAGTAGTAGCGTTTGCTGCCAGCGAGCGAGCGTGCAACAAAAAAGCGAAGAAACTTTTTGACATGCGGCTTCTGCCAGCTGCATCCGCTTTTCCTCCTCATTTTCCGCCCTCTCTCTCTGCTAGCTATCGCTGTTGTTGCTATGCGTGTAATTACGCTTGTTCAACATGGCGTATGCTTAATTTTTCTGTCACAAAATCTCGTTATTTTTTGGCTGCTCTTAATAATGGAATGTACACATTTTTAATGAATATCAGCTCTAAGAGTTTAGCTAATTAGAATAGTTTTTAGAGTTGATTCCAACTTGCAAACCATTTCTAGAGTTTTTTTTTTTTTAATTTAAATTTGTGTTATTTCGTATCCTAAGCGAATATCTGTTAAACCGTTTTTGGCTAATGCATTGGGCTATTTATTGCCTTTAAGCTTGACTAACCGCAGCTATGCAATTAGCTCAGCTAAAAGCATTTTTTGATTGTTATGTCGTGTTTGAATTTCAATTTTAGATAAGCTAAAAGGCGAAACGCCCGCAATGCGCCTAAAGCGATGGCAATGCAAATGCATTTTGGACTAACTCCAACAATTGCCGCATTATAGACATGTATACGTATACATGATATATATATATATATATATTTATATAGTTTATGTGCATATACTAAGTCTCTGCCGCAATTGCATTTCAATATCGCCGCAAAGCCAGAATCTAGACGATTTCTGTTTTTTATTTTGTATTTTCCGCTTGCCTTGTAGGTTATTTTTTATTGTTTTTAGCATTTTGTATTTCGTATTCGTGTGCTTTGGCACTTCAACCTCAAAAACAACAGATACATAGATAAAAAAAGTGAAAGAAAACTTGCAATAAGCATAAAAAATAGCAAAAAAGTTTTACTTTGGCCACGGCACAGAAATTTATGCCAAACAGCGGAAACGATATAATAGAAAAAGATGGCAGAAATATTCCTCTGGTATTTCCTTCTTTCCTTTTTTTGATGTTACAATCGGAGTGGGTTGGGGGGTCGGGGTAACAGGGTGTTGGTTTATGCCTAGAAATCGAAAATAAAAGACAGTTGCAGACAACAGTTGTTGGAGCCAACGTAACAACAAACGGAAGGTGGCAATTTAATAAAATGCTTGAGTGAGTCGCCGAGTTTTGTTTCCTGCTGCGGATCCTGCTGCTGCTGCTTATAGTCCTGCTCCTGCTGGCTGTCGCAAAAGTGTAGCATACTTTTTGGCATTCGTCGCAAAAGCAGCAGGCGGCGGCAAGGCAGCAGCAGCAGTAGCAACCTTTGATTGGTTTTTGGGTTTTGTGTGCAATTCTTGTTGTTATTTTCAGCTGCTCGGGCTAAGGGCTCTTCTGAAGAGCTTTGCAGTTTGAAAAGTGCATATATATAATTTATATACATATATATATATATATATAGTGCCAAGCGGCTAAGAAACTTCACAAGTTGTCTCGATTAAGTGTGGCAATGAGTTGCTGTGTCTTGTGCTTAGTCAACACTGTAATAAGTTAGTGTTGGGTAACGATTGAAATATGAAAGTACGAGATTGCCTATATATATTACGTATAGGTTTTTCAATAATGAATGAAACTATAAATTCGCCTAAATTTCATCGCCATAATTAATTGTTTTCAAATTGAATTATCTCTACATTTAAAATTCTATTCTATTCACACCGTAAGCCATAAAGCTATCAAAATGTTAGATAAACAGCACCCGCTATGTGAAAGCTATTACATTTAAGTACAATGCGAGGCACCCTCTGGTAATAAGACGCAGAGCCAACACGCTATTACAAATTTCTGGTAGCCTTCTAAGGGCCCAACAAATGGCGCCTCATTTCCACTTGAATTGCAGTAAATGCAGTTAAATTTTATGACGCTGACCCTGCCTCATAAACTGCAAACCAAAACAAAAGAGGGCGATGGAAAGGGAGAGGGGTACATAAATACATCAAGTGTTAAAAGCGCGGACTGGCCAAAAAGAATGCTTGGAATGGGGGCGGGAAAAAGGACAGCTGAACAATAGAGTGAAGAAAAAGTGTCTGCAATGAAGGCGATTTGCGTTAGGTTAACTTAAGTAGAAAACATGAAAAGTGCCAGACAAAATGCAACCAAATCAAATGTGTAAGCAAAGAGCGAAAGAGAAATGGGAACGGAGGAAAAGTAGTAAAGAGGGAAAAGAAAAGTGCAACGTGGTAATCAGTGCAATTTGCATGCGAGCAAACTTCAAACAGACAACGACGAGGCGCCCCCAGACACGATGTCAAGTTGCTGGCGTCAGTTTTTTATACGCTGTACGTGCAGTGAGATAGGGGTATATTGATTTTGTGGAATATGCTGAGCAATCAGTTAACTCTATTTCTAATTGGCAATATGAAAGGTACTTAGATATTTTATGGAAATTAACAACATGCAAACTACTTAGGCTCAGAGTTAATATGCTATAGAGTCGGAGACAATAAACTGCAACAAGTGAACTGAATAATAAAGAATATAGTTATATATTGGGAACATTGAGAGCCAGAACATCTTCTTTTCATCCATTTTTTTCAGCTTCCCATGGTAGGCTTGTTGAAGATCTACTCTAATTTAACTCTCTAACAAGTTACAACAATAATGTTAACAGCGTATTGCCTCAGTCAGTTACAATTTCCATTCCCATTTTATGAACACCCGCTCATTTGAGAAGGGTGTTATTAAATTTGCAAATACGTAATGTCAAATGTGTTTTTTTTGTTAGTCTTGTTGAATTTTGGCGCTGCATACTTGAGGGCGCGCCAGAAATGCAGTAAGCAACTGGAAAACGGGCAAAAGGCAGACATGTTAACATTTTCATGGTTTTTCCACACAATTTGCGAAGGCGCGCGCTCTCTCTCTCTCGTTCCGAAGAAAATATTCAAAATGGATTGTATTTGCATTTGGAGTAGAGTGGGAAATATTGCCGCATATGAAATCGATATGCAAATGTTGTCGAGTAGAGAAACTGAATAACAGTGAGACATATAGAGAAGGGGAGGGAGCGGTAGAGCGAAGAACGTCTCTTGACTTCCTCTGTGATGATGATGCACGTATTGTTTGCTTGTAAACATGATAAAAATTCAAATTAGCCATTATGGCAAGTCAAGTACATATAAATGAGCGAATGTGTGTAGTGTGTGTGTTTACGTATGAGTGTTGTCGCGTTGAAATGTAAAATGTGGCTAGAAATTACCGGAAGGCAATTGTGAAGAGAAAGAAGAACGAGAAGCAGTCATCGTTTCAGCAACCTTGAGCTAACTTTGTATAAAAATTCTATTTGCATATTTCATTGCCAGTTTTACTTGGTTATTCTTTTGTTTAATATTCTGAGGAAATCAATAAATGAAAGGAATGTGGGGAGATTATTACATAGGTTAAGCAAAAGCGTTGTCAAAGCTGATATGAGAGTTGATAAAATATATATTCTTAATGATTTAGATGTTAATATAATTGCTGATATTGAATATATTCTTGTTCATAATTAACAGTGATGTGGATAGGCGCTCTAGAGGGGTTTATTTATGATTCTAAGCAACTGTCTTATTTCGTTATTTTATCTTGACTCTGGTCTAGTTGCTGGTAGTACACATTGGAATATATATTCTCCCACATTAGTATAATTTCTATACTCTGGATAGAATTTTTTCCTAGTCTAGTAATTCTTTCTACATTTTTTTATGTAAAAATTGCTTAAGAAATCCCAAAAATTCTTTTGCAATAAATATTTGATCTAAGGTAACACACGAATCTTTCTTAAGCTCTGCGTTAACTATTCCCTAATATATATAAATATATTTTTATATTGGTCTCAATCTTGTGCGCATTCTCGCATTGCGATTCTAATCATAATTAGCGCACACGCAACTCTGCTACGAAGTTCACCTTAAAAAATCGCCAAGCTAAAT